AGAGGGAATCATATCGCTAACGTTTGCAGTTGTATAAACAAGTATTTTTATTTACTGAAGCTGTGCATGGACATATGCTATGACACAAGTTTATTATAATTGTTTATGTCCATACAGTGTTTCCCCTGCCTTATTCTGACTGCCTTTGCAATGGAAAACGCGAGAAATGTTCAACCTGCACAAGAGTCTTTAATATTTTATTTAAAAAAAGACAAATACACCAAGTGTTTGCTTTAACCTTTTTATTTCATGTAACTACAGTCCTTCAGTTTCAGCTTTATTAACCCAAATCATTCAAAGCAGTGGCTCTCTGACATTTCAAATCAATTTTGTGACCAAAAAAAAGCAAATGTCTGTTTTCCCAGTTAACTGTTGATTTCAGAGAGCCACATGTTAGTGTTATTCAATATCTTCTGGTCGGACGGGATGTGGAAGCGGGATTATGGATTTCTTCTCTGTGTCTCTGGATAAAGCTTTTCTCATATCTGTCAAACAAAAGAATGGAACAATAAGACTTGTAAGTTTTCTGAAGAAATGCGAGTTGGTTTAGCTTGCAAAAGTCTTTGCCGTGATGCTAAAATTCTGGATGGATTGATAATGTTGCAATTTAAGTCTCTTTTTTTTTGGTCCATTTTATTGTTTGCCAGGTAATAAAATAAACAAATGTCTTTAAAATTAAAACTGAACCCAAAATTTTGAACAGCAGTGTAATAAGTGAATAACCCACCATATGCATCTTCGTCAGGTTCACCGTTACTGGCGGAGTAATACTCTATAACGGTTCGGTACACGCTGTAGCCGAGCTGTTTGTACATATTCACAGCAACTTGATTGGAAACTCGCACAAAGAGATCCACAAAGAATCCACCCTTCCTGAATAAAACACAAACAAAACAAAGTAAAAATACACTGATACTGTAGCCAATACTAATATTTATTGTAATGTTATGGCTGATAATGATATGATTTCAGATTATACTGTTCTGCCTGTTTTCATTTTTACATGCATTTATTTAGTAGATACTTTTATCTAAAAGAAATTTCAAATGAGGGATGCTACAACACAAAGTGACTTGTACCTTTCTGAGATCTCCTCTAACATCTCCATGAGTTTGGCAGCCAGACCCAGGCGTCTGAACTCCGGTGCCACCGAGAGAGCGGTGACGTGCCCGTGCCACTCGTCTCTAGCGACGGACCCCTCTGCCTTGCCCATTACTACAGGATGACCGTTAACATACAGGTTATAAATACTCCAGTCTGACAGTTTTACATGAAATCCAAAAGTATCCTAGTTCCTAGTAGTGCTGTCAAAATTAAGACGTTAACACATGCGCTTAATTTTTTCAATTTAACACATTAAAAATATTTTTAACGCACTTAAGCAGGGGTGGAGCTAGGGTTGGCCACCCCACTCACAACTGCTGCTTCTGTTACTTTTTCTTGACAAAAGGTGTGTTTATTTAGATGCAGAATGTCTTTACGACCACATCAAACGGGAGACTTTCAGACGCATCTATGTCGTCAGTTAAGTCATGAAGTTACCATTAAAGCTGCCTTAAAACTGCATGCGAGTATACGAGTCACATTTGTCTCTGAAATGCAGTGGTTTTCAAACCTGTCCTGGAGCAGCCCAGCACTGTCTCCAGGCCCAGATTAAGAATTCAGAGGCCCCTGGGCACCATGTCTAGTAAAGGCCCCCCACCCCAAACAATCAAGGTCTTGAATTATATGGTACTATTTGTTGGAAACACCTCTAGCTTATATAGGATTTACACTGACAGGTTACAGCCTATGATCACAACCTGAATGGAAAATATCAACACCTGTAGATATTCTCCATCATACAGGATTTACACCACGATTGCAACAATGCGATTAATTCGTTTTTTTTTTAAACCAATCGACAGCATTAGTTCCTAAATGTCTATCTTGCATCAAAATGTAATAATTTGTTCTGCCTCTGAAACAACTTTACTTTTCAGATGCAGCCCATCCCCTTAATACATCAGGATGAATTCTGATCTAATCTTGTTTTGCACAGGAACATGTCAGATTTCTAAAGTAAAAAGGTCTCACTGTAACCCATCAGTTCACCGCCTGGAGCCTCTGCTACTATGAAATACTCCGGCCAGTGAGCCAAATACTGAAGATAGAAAGGAATTCCATACTGTTCAATTAATGAAAGTTAAGTAAAAATATATATATATATAAAAAAAAAAATATATATATAATAAACAGAAAAGCGACACTGTAACTGCCAGACTGATTAATATGTGATCATTTTGAGGTGTGTTTTAAAGGATACAGTTTCTGTCAATGGGTCCAGATTACTGTGGGATAAAAACACACAAGTTAATGTAAATATTACAATAATCTCATATATCATGAGCAGCATATAGAAACAAACCTATAAAAAAATGAAATACTAGTCACACGTGGCTTAACACAATATTAAGAGAATGATTATTAACATTTATACAGGTAAAATTCTGATATTACTATATGTTTATCCAGATCATGTTCAACATGTAGATAATACACAATATAAATGATCCAGCGCAGTAAGTAAGCTAACCAAAAATACCATGTTTTTTGAACAAGTACCATAGTATTTATGGAAGTACGCTCGAGTACCGTGGAAATACTATGATACATGATCAAAAAAAAAAGTACTTTCTTGCGGTTAGTATACTGTACTGCATTATTTATATTGATTACTATCTACATGTTGAATGTGATCTGAATTAATATCTAACAAGCCTTGCAACAGTGAAGGTTGCTGATTGTCGTCAAGCACATTCAATGTACACCGCTACAGTACTTTTTCAGAAATGGTAATTGTCAGCGCTATTATATAACTTGTAATGTAAACATAATTTGAGAAATATCTCAGTATTTTTTGTTCATGTAATGAAAGTAACTGGTAACCAAAAGAGCCTGGTTACCAACAATTTTCAAACTATCTTCTTTTATGTTCCACAAAAGTAAGTCATACAGGTTTGAAATGACATGAGGGTGAGTAAATGATGACAGAATTTTCATTCAACTATCCCTTAAATGTTATTTTGTTATCGTAAATGTTATTTATTTGTTTATGAATGAATTAATGATTTTTTAAATGCAATTATACTAAACTAAAAAAACTAAAAACTAAATTTATATTAAACTAAAACGGCGGTAAATGTCTTTACGAGTCAGTCATTGAGTCATTCATTCATTCGATTCCTTCAAACTGCTGATTCATTCAGGAATGAATTAAATGGCTCTCTTTATGAATGGGCCATTGAACTGTTGTATAAAATCACATTTACACAACATTTGCGTCAATATGCAATATGCATGTGGACTTTTGACCACAGTTTCATGTCATCTAAAGTCTTTATTTATAGTTATGGTAACTAACATACTCATAATTCATAAAGATAACTTTTTTGTTAGCATAGCCTATTCATCAGACAATAATTACACAATTTTGATTATGTAAAACCAACAACATCACAGCAGCAGTTTTAAAGATGTTTTCTTTCGATTGTTTGACTACTCAAAAGAGAACTTAACTTAATTTGTTTCCTCCTAGCTAAATTTCACATACATGAACAAAAATCTGGCTCTATCTGGCCTCTCTTTTCTTTATTCAGAGTTGATCTAGACAAACCAAACCTCTGTTCATCCTAAAGCAGTCAAAACTGTATCTCTATAGTCATCCTATATGTGTCCTCTTATATGAGACAAAACCTCATACAGGGGCATTTTTTTGCCCCAATATCTTGAATTTTAGGCTCATATAACGTCTCGGTTACGTATGTAACCCTCGTTCCCTGAAGGAGGGAACGGAGACGTCAAGTCGGATGACCGACGAATTGGGATCTCGCTTAGAGGGACCAATCTACTTTGAGTGTAAACTAAACGAGCCAATGCACATTGGCATGCGATTATTGCATCCAGCTGCTGCTGATCACAGCGTGAGTATAAGTAGGCAGCAGATGCAGTGCATATTCAGGTTTTCGCTGAGGAGCCGAGCCGGTGACCCGGCCGCTCAGCGGTGGTACAGGAGCTGTGGCGACGGGATGTGACGTCTCCGTTCCCTCCTTCAGGGAACGAGGGTTACATACGTAACTGAGACGTTCCCTTTCAGTCGGTCACTCTCGACGTCACGTCGGATGACCGACGAATTGGGATCCTACCAAAAGGCCACAGCTACCGCCCCTTCCAGTGTCCTGTGGAAGCCACCTGCGCCCCTA